TATATTAATGCATTCTTACAACTAGGTCCTTACAACATTGACTAATTCACTTAGTATCTAAATAACTCAACACTCCCCCTCAAGATGGGCGATAGATATCAATCATCCCCATCTTGTTACAAAAGATATCATACTCTCTAGAACCTAATCCTTTTGTTAAACAATCAGCTAACTGCTCTTCTGATTTCACATAGCTCAAAGTCAGAACTCCTCTATTCAGTTGTTCCTTGATAAAGAACCGATCAATCTCCACATGTTTGGTGCGATCATGCTGAACTGGATTGTTTGCAATATTAATCGCCGATTTGTTGTCACACCAAAGTTGTAAGGAGTCTCTTCTAAACAAGCGCAACTCAGATAATATGTTTTTTACCCACATCAACTCGCACAGACTAACTGTCATAGCTCTGTACTCGGCCTCAGCTGTAGACCTAGCCACCACATCTTGCTTCTTGCTACGTCAAGATACGAGATTGCCTCCAACAAATACACAGTAACCTGTAGTGGATCTACGATCATCCATACAACCCGCCCAATCAGCATCGCAATAGCCTTCAATTCTCAGATGTCCAAAACTCCTGAACCATAACCCCTTTCTTGGGCTTCCTTTAATATATCTAAGAATTCTGCGAACTGCCTCCATATGCTGCTCTCTGGGATCATGCATATATCTACTCACCACACTCACTGCATGAGTAATATCAGGTCTCGTATGGCATAGATATATAAGTCGTCCAACCAATCTTTGATATTGCTCTTTACTCACAAGGTCCCCACCCTCGGCACTCATCTTATGATTCTGCTCAATAGGAGTAGATGCAACTCTGCACCCCAACATCCCTGTCTCTGAGAGAAGATTCAGAGCATACTTCCGCTGAGAAAGCACTATACCCTTTCGCGACCTTGCAATTTTAATTCCGAGAAAGTACTTCAACTGCCCCAGATCTTTAACTTCGAATTCCTCTCCCAATTTCTTCTTCAACAGTAGGATTTCCTCAGTGTCATCTCCAGTGATTACAATATCATCAACATAGACCGTCAGGATAGTGATACGAGTTTTGGAGTGCCTGTAAAACACAGTATGATCACCATTGCACTGCTTGTACCCCATACTACAAACTGTCAACCTGAATCTATCAAACCATGCCCTCGGAGACTGTTTTAACCCATACAAAGACTTCTTCAACTTGCACACCTTCCCAGCTACTTGAGAAGTAGTGAAGCCTGGTGGAATCTCCATATATACCTCCTCTTGAAGATCTCCATGTAAAAAGACATTCTTGACATCTAGCTGATGTAGTGGCCAATTAAAGTTGGCAGCACATGACACCAACACTCTAACAGTACTCATCTTTGCTACTGGAGCAAATGTCTCGTCATAGTCAATGTCGTATGTTTGGTTGTAGCCTTTAGCAATCAATCTGGCCTTGTATCTGTCGATCTTGCCCTCTGGAGTTTGCTTAACCGTATACACCCACTTACATCCAACAGCACGCTTCCCAGCTGGCAAAGGTACCAACTCCCATGTGTCATTCTTCTTCAAGGCCTGGAGTTCCTCGTGCATGGCATTCAACCACCTAGGATCTTGCTTAGCTACCTGCCAGTTGTTAGGTACAGGCACTGAATGCAACGATGCAATGAATGACTTATATGCAGGTGGAATGGATGCATATGAAATGTAATTCGCAATATCAGTATCCCAATTACCAAACTTAGCTGGAGGTTTTCCAGCATTAACTCTGGGGGTTCTGCGGGGCAAGACGAGAGTATTAGAAGTATCAGGGAAGAACTCGTTACCTATCGACTCAGGTGGAGAAGTCACTGGAGAGGAGGGACTTGGGACATCAACATTTGTGGGCACTGGCATAGGCACAGGAGGCGGCTCATGTTGAGAACTCAACTCCGTTTTCTCCCCATAAAAAGGTTCAAACTCCCGAAAAGTCACATCCATACTGACAAACAGCCTTCTTTCAGTGGGACACCAACACTTGTATCCTTTTTGACTTGATGAGTAGCCAACAAAGATATATTTAACTGCTTGCGGATCCAGTTTACTCACCATCAACCTGTGATCTCTCACATAACATGTGCATCCAAACATTCTTGGTGGAACAACAAAAACATTCGAGCCCAAAAACATCTCACATGGTGTCTTCATCTCTAATACTCTTGATGGCATCCTGTTGATCAAATAAGCCGCTGTCATAACAGCCTCACTCCATAAAAACTTAGGCACATTCATTGTCAACATCAATGAGCGTGTCACTTCCAGTAGATGCCTGTTCTTACGCTCAGCCACCCCATTCTGAGCAGGGGTGTCTGGGCAGGTGGTTTGATGAACAATTCCCTGATTAGAGATGAAAGGTGTAAACTCCTTATTGACATACTCAGTCCCATTATCTGTTCGAAGAATCTTCACCTGCACTCCAAACTGTGTCTTCACATAAGCCGAGAAATCTTGAAAATATTTGTAAACCTCTGATTTCTGCTTCATCATGTATATTCAGGTCATACGTGAATAACAATCAATGAAAGTAACAAACCATCTAAAACCACTGATAGAGGTAGTAGGACATGGTCCCCAAACATCAGAATGGACAAGTGCAAATGGTTCACAACTTCGAAGACCAATCATTCTATAAGTAGAACGAGTATGTTTTCCAAGTTCACATGCATTACAAAATAACTCTTTTCTATCCACTTTCTTCATTAACTCAGGTTCTAATCTATTTAAACTCTCAAAAGATAAATGCCCTAACCGGCAATGTTGAAGCATCGCTTCTGCCTCTGGCCCTCCGCTAACCGCAGCAGCAATCGTTGTTGTCTCCCTGTCCAAATACCAAAGACCATCACGTCTAATACCAGTCCCAATCCTCCTCCTCGTTTCCTTCTCTTGAAAGACACACAAATCTCGATCAAATAACACGGTGTAATTTAATTGATCAATGAGAGAGCTAACTGAGAGTAAGTTAACTGGAAACGAAGGAACATGCAATACTGATGACAAGATAACAGATGAAGTGCAATGGACCGAGCCAGTACCCCTGATGGGTTGGGATGTCCCATCAGCAGTCTGAACTGTCTCAGGATGCATATGCTTACTCGGATAATATAATGCAAACTCACTAGATGTTCCTGTGACATGCCTAGATGCACCTGAGTCTATGATCCAATCAACATGAGTTTTAGTGGATGCAAGTGCCTGAACCTGTGTACCTTTGTTCGCATGAGCATAACCAATAAAGTTACCAAGCATGTAGTGGTAGCCAGATCCTGGGTGACTTGTCCCTTGCCCTTCGAACTCTCAGCCTGAAGCTTGAACAGACGTAGTTCCTTCAGCTCTGTTATTTCAGCTCCAGTCATCCCAGCAGTAGTCTGAGACTCATCTGCCACAGCTAGGTGAGCAACTCCTTGGCTTACACGCCCCCTGCCTCCTCGACCTGCACGGCCACCAGTCTGACCACGTTCACTCCAGTTCCTAGGTGGCTTAGGGCACATCTGTCTCAGATGCCCTACCTCTTCGCAGTTGAAGCACTGCCTAGTCTCCCCTCTGAATCCAGTGTTATCCGGGTTGGATACCACCAGTGCAGACTTCTCTCCTGTAAGTCCACCTATCCCAGACCGTAGCCTGATAAGACTCTCCTCCTGTATCATGGCCGAGACTGCCTTCTCCAGTGGTGGGATCTTCGTCTGGGTTAGTAGCAATGCCGTCCTCTGCTCATACGCTGGAGCCAAACCTCAGAGAAATAACATGGTCCTCTTCTGCAAAGCGGCCTCGCGCTCCTTGCACTCAGGGTCCTTGCAGCTCGCAAGGGGCGAGAAGTGATCGTGATCGAGCCACAAGCGCTCCAGCTCTGTGGCGTACTCCTGTACAGTCCTCTCTCCCTGGACTATAGCGCCGATCTTCTTCTCGATCTGAAATACCCTCAGGTTGTTCAACTTCTTGATGATCTCCTCCATCGGATTTTTTTCAGTCTTTGTCATCGGTCCAACTTCTATTCTTGTGGTGCGCAACGAAAAAATTCCAGCAGCACTTCGACAGTACAACAAGATAGATAGATCAACAAGAATTCCTGTTTCACCAAGGAAACAAGAACCAAGAAGTAAGATATCTCAACAAAGTGAGATATCAGCTCTTCTCTCATCAGTTCTAGGACTGACTTGTCGAGGGAACCTAAATAAACTATTACAAATCAAGAACCTCTCTCTTTCTGTTTTTTTTCCTTTTTTTCTCAACAGCGAAACCACACTACTTAATCACCTAATACTGGAGATCACTCTCCTAAATCGCTCAAATTAATACAGACCCCATCTTTCTCTTCTCTCTCCTTAAAATCCCCAAATCACAAACGATCCAAATCACAAACGATCCAACCCCTAAAAAAAAATGAAACCCTAGAAATCAACCCTCTCATTCCAGCCGATCCCCACATCCTCAGCCACGATCGTCAACACCCTAGCATCCTCATCAGCACGATCGTCAACACCCAGCCACGACTGATGACGGAGACCGATCCCTCCTCATCCACGGTTAGCCACCCCTCATCAGTGACGACAGCCGTCGCTTCTCTCTAACCGTCGCACCACTAGCACCGCGTCCCCCTTTCTCCCTTCATCGGTGACGAGATCGACAGGTCTGACCCGCCTCGGTGAGATCGACCGACAAATTAGGAGGAGAGATCGACGGATTGAGCGACGGAGAGAACGAACGAAGTTGGGCGGCGGAGGAATCGTCGGATTTGGCTCAGAAAAGGGAGGCGACTAGGTTTGGCTCTGATACCATGTAGAAAGATTAGGGTTAGTTTCTCTCATTAAGAGACCCCTCTTTTATATTAATGCATTCTTACAACTAGGTCCTTACAACATTGACTAATTTACTTAGTATCTAAATAACTCAACAGGAACTTTATCGCGACGCGGTAGCGGTTGGATCGTTTGCGGCCGTTACAAAGGGGATCGTCCCTGTTGAGGCAGGGTGAAACACAGGGCCTCTACCGAACATGGTCGACGGAGCTCCATGGATCCTAATGGTCGGATCGAGCGTCATGGACAGAAGGGTAAGATCGATAGTAGAGCTCGGAGACGGCCGAGAATTCTATGGGGAATCGGCTTATCAGCCAGATAAATTCCCTCCCACTCAGTTTCCTTTGATTTATCCATACGGCATACTGAAATCGGAGGATTCGAAGAAATGCCAGGGCGACTCTCTAAATTTGATCGACGTCAAGGACAAGATTGTGCTGTGTGAAGCGACCTGGGATTATAAGGAGAATGTGGAAGCCGGCGATCTCGTTAAAAAGGCCGGTGGCGTCGCCGTTATAGTCATGAGCCACCCGATGATGGGGAATCGAACGGACGCGGATGCTTTTCTCCATCCATCTTCTCGTGTTACCTACAACGACACAGTGGAAATTATAAAGTATGTTGACCAGGCATCAAATCCAACCGCAGCGATAAAGTTCAACGGAACGCAATTTGGACATCGCCCCGCACCTGTAGTGTCCTCGTTTTCGAATCGAGGCCCTAACCCCTTTAACAGTAACATAATAAAGCCAAACTTTATTGCACCCGGTTCGGACATTCTCGCAGCCTGGCCAACTGAAGTCAGTCCGAATCCTACAGGCACGGATAAGACGTTTATCATGGTAAGTGGAACTTCAATGGCTGCACCTCACGTGTCAGGGATCGTGGCTCTCCTCAAGCACAATCATCGACATTGGTCGCCCGCTGCGATTAAATCAGCCATCATGACAACAGCCTACACGAAAGACCGAGATGGTAATCCCATAAAAGATGAATATGACGGTAAAGATGCTGGAGCCTTCACGATGGGATCGGGTCATGTGGACCCGGTGGCAGCTAATGATCCGGGTCTGATATATGATAATGACCCACACGATTACATCCGATACCTTTGTGGGATGAAACTTCCGGATTTTAAGGTATCATCAATTGCAGGTGGCCTGATTGTGTGTTCTCAAGTTCAAGCTATTAAGCCTAAGCAATTGAACTATCCTTCAATTTCGGTGTCTCTCGGGGCTAAATCGGTATCGAAGACTGTGAATCGAATAGTGACGAATGTCGGTGATGCTTGGTTTACACGGTGAAGGTTGATAATCCAGAGGGAGTGCATGTGGATGTTGACCCTATTACCCTTGCATTCACTAATGAAGGTGAAAAGCAAGATTTTACTGTGACATTGAGTATTCAGGGAGTTCCACCCAAAGCAGGCAAAGTTTCAGAAGGGCAACTAGTATGGGTTTCTGGCAAGTATTTTGTGAGGAGTCCTATTGCAGTTACATTCACCTGAGTTCCCAAAGGACCGTAAAGTTGTTGAAAATAAAAATAGGTAAATAAACACATGGAATTTGGTGTGCATGTACATAATATTCTTGAAACGAGTATATATTGCAGGTATCATATCATAAGAAGTATGTCATAAAAATGGCAATGGTCATTGCTCTATATAAATTATAAAATAAATCTTCAGATAAATCCAAACGATCACTTTGTTTCGATTTACAAATTTGTCAAATTTCTATTCAAACCAAGTAGGTGGAGGACTCCTAATCAAATCCGTATTACTAATGTATGCCTTATATATTGGCCAACTTCTACCTCTCTCTCCTAAAGATACAATTTCATAGACTTTGATTTCTTGATTCCTGCTTATTTCTCTTCTAGTTGCGATAAATAATCTTGATGCAAGTAATATATTGGCTGTGATACCAACTTAATACGAGTCGTCGTGCGAGCACCTTTGATCGCGGAATTATTAAAGATATATTCATGAAGAAAACAGCAAGACAGAAGAACAGTTCGATATGGCGAAGGAAAATACCTTCTCTAGATTATAAAGAACAATAAATTACAAATCTCCTCTCTATTCTCAAAACTCTCGGATTTCTAACTGGGAATCCCAAATCAATAGGGTTTCTATTTATACAAACCCTAAAAACCCAAAACCGGCTAGGAATCAGAATCGGCCCGACCCGCTATCGGTCGTCTAATGATGGTTTATCAGTCGACTGATAGGCCCTCATCGGTCGACTGATAAACCAGCATCCGTCGACCATCCAGAGCGACTTTCAGCACCCTGTAATGTGCACGTTTATCAGTCGACTGATGCCAAGCCATCAGTCGACCGACCAGAACTATTTCGCTAGAGTCGTCTTTTCCTGATTTTCGCCATTTTCGACACGCTTCTATCATGTTTTTATTCTCAAGCTACCATGAGAATCATCTATCCTCAAGCTCCCATGAGGATCGCTAAGTTCCCGAAGCGGAGAAGATACACATGTATCATTAAGATTCACAAACCCGTTAATTTCTCTCATCTAACCTTTGTGTTGTTCTTCTTACTCTCTTCCTCTCTCTCTTTGAAATCCATGGGAGCAACACAACAGATTCTCAAGCCTACATCGTCCATGTAAAAATGCCCAAACATACCAAATTCCTCACCTTCAGAGACCAAAGAAATTTGTACATGTCTTTCTTGCCGAACACAACCTCAAACTCCAGCGAGCCTATAGTCTACGCATATTGACATGCTATCAGTGGCTTCACTGCGAACCTGATGCCGGAGGAATTATAGGTGATGAAATCTAGACCAGGAGTACTAAGTGTGTATCATGGACACGAATGTGAACTCCAAACGACGTACAGCCCGAAGTTCTTAGGTCTGAGTCGGTCGAATGGACTGTGGCCAGATTCAGGTTATGGTCAAGGTATAATAATCGAAAAGAAGAAAGCAAAGGGACTGTGGCTAGATTCAGGTTATGGTTGAAGTCTGAACCGGTCGAATGGACTGTGGCCAGATTCAGGTTATAGTCATGGCAGAAGAAAGCAAATCAAAGATCAAGAAGTTTGACTCAAACTTCGCCTACTGGAAGTCACAGATGAATGACTATCTGTACTAAAATGACTTGTATATATGGTTGTCGCTCGCTAAGATAGTCACCCACAACATATTAAAGGAAAAGACGACGGGTGGGGCTTATGGAAGCGCTCGTGAAGATGTACGAGCAACCGTCTACAGCAAATAAGGTGCATCTCGTCAAAACGCTCTTCAACCTTAAGATGACAGAAGGACAGTCCTTCACGATGCACCTTAGTGAGTTCAACATGATTATTGATTAACTTAAATCCGTAGACATCACATTCGATGACGAAATGCAGGCCCTATTATTACTATCATAGTTGTCGGATAGTTAGGCAGGTTGTGTGACCGCAATTAGCAATTAGACGGGGAAGGAAAAGTTAAAGCTGAGAGAGGTTGTTAGCATGATTCTATCCGAGGAGGTTAGAAGGAAATCATCCGAATCTGAAGGTTCAGGTTCAGCCCTAAATCTCGAGCAGAGAGGCAGAAGCCAGAAGAAGGGCAATCAGAACATGAATCAGTCGAAGTCAATAAAGAAAAGGTCGAACTCGAAAGTTAGGCCTATCAAAGGAAAGTGTTGGAATTGCGACCAAGAAGGCCATATGTCTTCAGTCTATAAAACGCCAAAGAAGAATACGAACGAGCAGAATGCTCATATCGTGCAGGATGCATTGATCCTTGCTATGGACAACGATTCTGTTTCTTGGGTCATCAACTCAGGAGCCTCTTTCTACATCATTGCTAATAGGAATCTTCTCCAGAACTATGTAGCAGTGAACTTTGGAAAAGTATATTTGGGGTACAACGAGCCTTATAATATTGTTGGAAAGGGCGATGTTCAGATACAGATGAAGGGCTCTAAGTGGAATCTGAAGAACGTCAGACGCGTACTGAAACTGAAGAGGAATCTTGTTTAGGTAGGACAGCTTAGAACGGAAGGCTATGTTTTGACATTCACCGAGGATTCGTAGAGGATCTCCAACGATACTATGGTTGTTGCCCGCGGCAACAAAACAGGAACTCTCTACTCACCTCACATGCGAGTGACATCCTCGCAATTATGGCTGGCAAAGAGAGTACAGATGTGTGACACAATAGGCTGGGATACATACGCAAGAAAGGGATAAAGATTCTACATTTGTAGGAAAAGTTAACCGGCATCGATTCAGTTAAAGTTGGTGTTTGTGAGGACTACATCTACGGGAAGCAGAAGAGGGTCAGCTTTCAGAAGAATGGAAGACCATCTAAAGCTTAGAAGCTAGAGCTTGTTCATACAGATGTATGGGTATACTTCATGAAGCACAAGTCAGAGGTGTTCGAGATCTTTAAGAAGTGGAAGGCCATGGTCAAGAACGAGACAGATCTGAAGGTGAAGTATCTGAGATCATACAACGGTAGAGAATATGATCTGGAGGAGTTCAAGAGGTTCTGTGTTCTGAATGGGATTCGTTTGGAGAGGACTACTCTAGGGACACCGCAGTAAAGGCATAGCAGAGAGGATGAACAGGACATTGACGGAGCGTGCCAAGAGCATGCGATTACATGCAGGTCTGTCTAAGACATTTTGGATGGACGCGGTACATACGACAGCTTATTTGATTAATCATAGGCCATCAGTTCCATTGGATTTTGGGATTCCAGAGGAAGTTTGGAGTGGCAAGAAGGTCAATCTCTCACACTTGCGGGTATTTAGCTACGTGGCATATGTTCATATCAGTGACCATGTTAGGGACAAACTAGAAACTAAGTCACAGAAGTGCACATTCTTTGGATACGACAATGATGAGTTCTGGTATCATCTTTATGATGAGAAGAATAGGAAAATCATCAAGAGCAGAGATGTGATATTCAATGAGGAGGTGATGTACAAGAACAAGGATAATGCCAAGGATAGCTAAAATAGTGGGAGCAGCACTACGGATGCAGGTGGATCCAAGTACATAGATTTAGAGGAACTTCCAGATAGGGGTGACAGAGTCAATTCTGACCGAAGAACGGAGGAGGCTCCAAGTGCAAAAATTATTACCCAGAGCATGGAGCTTAGGAGGTCATCCAGGATACCCAAACCGAATCCTAGATATCTCTCATCACTTGATTATTTACTTTTGACAGATAGTGGAGAACCAGAGTGTTATGAGGAGCTATGCAAGTGAGTGAATCTTAATAGTGGGAGCATGTGATGCAGGAGGAGATGGATTCTCTACACACTAATGAGACATGAGAGTTAGCCCAGCTACCTGCACAGAAGAAAGCATTACGTAACAAATGGGTCTACCGAGTCAAGCAGGAGAGTGATGGAAGCAAGAGATACAATGCTAGATTAGTCGTGAAGGGGTTCCAGCAGCAGGAAGGAGTGGACTATACGGAGATATTTTTCCCCATTGTGAAGCTCACAACCATCAGAATGGTGTTGAGCTTAATGGATGTAGAAGATCTCTACCTTGAGCAGTTAGATATGAAGACTGTCTTTCTTCATGGTGACTTGGATGAAGAAATCTACATAAAGCAACTTGTTGGCTTCATTGAAGAAGGAAAGAAAGAGATGTTGTGTAAGCTCAAGAAGAGCTTGTACGGATTGAAACATGCTCCGAGACAGTGGTATAAAAAGTTCGACAACTTCATGCAGAGCAATGGCTATGGAAGATGCAATTCAGATCACTGTTGCTACTTCAAGAGGTTCGAGTCCAGCTTTATCGTATTGTTATTGTATGTTGATGACATGCTAGTTGCAGGACCATGTTTAGAAGAGATAAACAGATTGAAAAAGCAATTGGCAAGAGAATTTGCTATGAAGGATCTGGGTGCAACGAAGCAGATTCTTGGGATGCGAATCAGTAAAGATGAAGCTGAAGGAATATTGATGTTGAGTCAAGCTGAATACATCGAGAAAGTACTTTATAGATTCAACATGCAGAATGCTAAGGTTGTTAGCACGCCCTTTGGAAGGCAATTCAAGTTATCTGAGGAGAAATCACCTAAGACAGATGTAGAAAGGGAGCATATGAGCAGCGTGCTATATTCATAGGCCATTTGGAGTCTCATGTATGCGATGGTTTGCACGAGACCGGATATCGCCCATGCAGTGGGAGTTATGAGCAGGTTTGCATGCAATCCAGGGAAGCAGCATTAGGAGGCCGTGAAGTGGATATTACAATACTTGAGAGTGACTACGGACAAACCATTATGTTTCAGGAGGGAGTTGGTACTACAGGGATACGTGGATGCGGACTTCACCGGTGATCGTGATACGATGCGAAGAACCATGGGGTATGTTTATACTTTAGCGTCGATAGCAATGAGTTAGGTATCACATTTGTAGAAGATTGTAACATTTTTCACAACTGAGGCGGAGTATGTCACAGTGACTGAAGCCAGCAATGAGATGATTTGGTTAACCGGGTGCCTGGAAGAGTTGGATCTGAAGTAGGGGAAAGGAGTTCTTTATTTTGATAGCCAGAGCGTTATACATCTTGCAAAGAATCCAGTATATCATGCCAGAACGAAACACATCGATGTACGATATCATTTCATACGCTCGTTGATTGATGACGAGAAGTTACATCTGGAGAAGATTTTAGAAAGTCAAAATCCTGCAGATATGTTGACAAAAGTAATGATCATCAAGAAACTGGAGTTGTGCGCAACTTCAGTTGGCCTTCACGCGTAGGAGATGAAGGCGGAGCCACACCAGGAGGATCGGCAGGATCGCTGAGAAGATGATGATTGAAGAATGGATGTTTTACGGGTAGGAGAAGATGCTTGCGAAAAAGGAGAGAGTTTGGGAGAGCTCGTTGATATTGCTTTGGTCTCCAAGTGGGAGATTGTTAGTCTAAGTGTGTAGATCCAAAGCTAGAATCAAAAAGACAAAGGGAACAGTCAAATCTCGGGTCGGTTGACCGCCACGCCTGGTCCGGTCGACCGTGATGCTTGCCAGAAACTGAGAAGAAACATGCTCTCCGGTCAGTCGACCGCGGAAGCTAGTCCGGTCGATCGTGAACGTGCACGTTGCAGGGTAAAGAATCGACGCTCTGGCCGGTCGACCGCCACACAAAGCCCGGTCGACCGCGATGGGTTCTGGCAGTTTCCTAAAGTTTTTGGGTTTCTGTTTTGAACCAGGACTCTATATATACCTAAGCGATTTTAGAATAATGTATGCAATAGAAAATAGAGAGTTTTGAGAGGATTCTTCAGAGAGATCTCATAGAGATTAAACTCTAATTTGTGAGCTTATAATCCTTCTTCAATTAATCAAAAGATTGTGTGGTGTTGGCTCTCGAGGACGTAGGCACGTTGTCAAACCTCGTTAAATCTGGTGTTAAATCTGGTGTGTTCTTTCTTATTTATTTTTCCTGTAAGTTTTATTTTTTATTTGTGGTGATTTCTTGCTTGCCTACTTTCAAACACAAGATCTGAAAAGGTACGGGTTCGATTGATTGTTCGAATCCCCAACAGAATATTACATGCAAAAACAATACATTTATCCTCTCTTGATCAAAATCTTTGATCAGCAAAAGTACAAGCATTTCCCTATCACTAACAAGTGAGAGTCAAGGCTAGATATCAGAAACGATTGTTACATAACCTTCCGTAACTTGTAAATATCATAAAAGCCCTCTTAATTTTAGGGGTTATCAGAAGACCCCTTTAGCATTGGGGGTAGTTTTTTTTCCAATGAAAATTGCGGTTTACCTTTTTTAGGAAGGTTTTCTAATTAAATCTTAAAGGTAAGGGGTCTTTTTGATAAACCCTAGATTAAAGGGGGGATTTCTGATATTTTTAAAGTTATGGGAGGCTTCTAATTACTGAGTTGGTTTCTAATTAACAATAAACGTAACTAAAAGAGAAGAAAGAGCCACAGTCATTTTGTTCGTGCTTTATTCACCCATAGGATGCTTCCAGCATAGCATACGCTGCTCCTATTGTGTACATGTACGCACGCATTATTTCCAGGCTTTTTTCTCTCGTCTCCTAAAGCAAAATTTTCACGAACATTGGATCCCTGCTCCCTAAGTATCATGCTACACAATGCAATAAGTAAATCATACCTGAGCTTGTCATGGATTCTATATAACCTGATCTATGCTACACATTGGTCTATATCCACTTCAATGGAGATCTATACACCCATCTATTTCTCTCATCTAACCTTTCTTTCGTTCTTCTTACTCTCTTCCTTTCTCTTTGAAATCCATGGAAGCAACACAACAGATCCTCAAGCCTACATCGTCCACGTACAAAAGCCCAAACACACCAAATTCCTCACCTTCAGAGACCGGAGAAATTGGTACATGTCTTTCTTGCCAAACACAACCTTAGATTCCGGTGAGCCTCGGATGATCTACACGTATAGACACGCAATCACTGGCTTCGCGGCAATGCTAACCCCCGACGAATTGCAAACGCTGAAATCTAAACAAGGAGTAGTAAGTGCACATCCTGAACACGAGTGCAAGCTACGAACCACCTACAGCCCGAAGTTCTTGGGCCTCAACCGGTGGTCCGGACTGTGGCCTAGCTCAGACTACGGTGCGGGTCAAATAATCGGTATGATGGACAGTGGAATCAAGTACAGCCACCCTTCATTCGACGATCAGCAGATGTCTCCGCATCCCCAACCACCCATATGGAAAGGAACATGCTACTGGAGCCAAGGCGGATGCAACAAGAAGATCATCAGTGCTGTCGGTTTCCATCAAGGACGAATAGTTTCGCCGTTGGACACCAGAGGGCATGGGACCCACACGGCAAGCACAGCTGCCGGGAGCTTCGTTGATGACGCCAATGCCGTCGGTCATGCAAAGGGCACGGCTTCCGGGTTAGCTCCAGGAGCTCATCTCGCAGTCTACAGAGTCACGCCCGGGACTTCTGCAGATATTCTCAAAGGTATAGACCAAGCTATCCATGATCAGGTACACATGCTCTCTATGTCTTTAGGCTATGACAAACCTTATAAACTTGATGAGGATAAGGTAGCGGTTGGATCGTTTGCGGCCATTACAAAGGGGATCGTCCCTGTTCAAGCAGGGGGGAAACGCGGGGCCTCTAGCGAACCAAGTCGACGGAGCTCCATGGATTCTAATGGTCGGATCGAGCGTCATGGACAGAAGGGTAAGATCGATAGTAGAGCTCGGAGATGGCCGAGAATTCTATGGGGAATCGGCTTATCAGCCAGATAACTTCCCTCCCACTCAGTTTCCTTTGATTTATCCATACGGCGTCCTGAAATCTGAGGATTCGAGGAAATGCCATGGCAACGCTCTAAAATTGATCGACATCACAGGTAAGATTGTGCTGTGTGGAGCCAATACGGATTATAAAAAGAATGTGGAAGCCAGCGATGAGGTTAAAAAGGCCGGTGGCATCGCCATTATAGTCCTGAGCCAGGCGGGGATGGGGAATCGAACGGACGCCGATGCTTTTCTCCATCCAGCTTCTCGTGTTACCTACAACGACTCAAAAGAAATTATGACGTATTTCAAACAGGAATCAAATCCTACTGCAGCGATGAAGTTCGACGGAACGCAATTTGGAGGTCGCCCCGCACCTGTAGTGTCCTCCTTTTCGAATCGAGGGCCTAACCCCTTTAACGGTAACATAATAAAGCCAGACGTTATTGCACCCGGTTCGAACATTCTCGCAGCTTGGCCAACTGAAGTTGGGCCGAGTCATACAGGCACGGATAAGACGTTCATCATGGTAAGTGGAACTTCGATGGCCACACCTCATGTTTCAGGGATCGTAGCTCTTCTCAAGCACAATCATCGACATTGGTCACCTGCCGCAATTAAATCAGCAATCATGACAACAGCCTACACGAAAGACCCAGATGGTAATCCGATAAAAGATCAATACGATGGTGAAAATGCTGGAGTTTTCACGATGGGATCGGGCCATGTGGATCCCGTGGCAGCTAATGATCCGGGTCTGATATATGACAATGACCCGCACGATTACATCCGATATCTTTGTGGGATGAAACTTACGGATTCTGAGGTATCAACAATTGCTGGTGGCCCGATTGTGTGTTCTCAAGTTCAAGCTATTGAGCCTGAGCAATTGAACTATCCTTCGATTTCGGTGTATCTCGGGGCTAAATTGGTATCGAAGACTGTGAATCGAATGGTGACGAATGTTGGTGATGCTAACTCAGTTTACACGGTGAAGGTTGATAATCCAGAGGGAGTGGATGTGGATGTTGACCCTATTACCCTTACATTCAATAATGAAGGTGAAAAGCAAGATTTTACTGTGACATTGAGTATTCAAGGAGTACCACCCAAAGTAGGCAAAGTTTCAGAAGGGCAACTGGTATGGGATTCTGGCAAGTATTTTGTGAGGAGTCCTATTGCAGTTACATTCACCTGAGATCCCAAAGAGATGTAAAGTTGTTGAAAATAAAAAAATAAGTAAATAAACACATGGAATTTGGTGTGCACATAATATTCTTGAAACGGGTATTGCAGGTATCATATCAAAAGAAGTATGTCATAAAAATGGCAATGTACTTCCACAAAAGCCCCTTATAGCAATGGTTCCAACCGTTGCTTATAGACCTCTTAGTAACAGTATGTGTTGGGGATTCGAAACAATCAATCGAACCATTGCCCTTCCGGACCTTGTGTTGAAAGTAGGAAAGTAGGAATAAAACCAGAAATAAAGATCTAACTTGCAAAAAACAGTAAAGGAGATGAACACACAGATTTAACGAAGTTCGGCAATGTGCCTACGTCCTCGGGAGCCACACCACATAATTTTTTTATTAATTGAAGAAGAAAATACAAGCTCTCAAACAAGGGATTAATCTCTCTGAGATTCTCTCTTTTTTTACAGTCAAAAACTCCTTTTTTTGATGTAGTACAAACCCTAAAATCGTTTGGGGTATATATAGAACCCTGGGTGAAACAGATTCCTAAACAGAACAGGATTCTGTTTGACTGCGTCGCGGTCGACCGGCCCGGTCGACCGATCAGATTCCAGAGAGTTTGGCGGTCGACCGGCGCGGTCTACCGCAATCAAAACCCGAGACCAGTTTTTCTTACAGGGTTTTGGCGGTCGACCGGGTCAGTCGACCGCGACCTGTTCTAGGCTCTCCCAGCTCCTGTGCACGTTCGCGGTCGACCGACCCGGTCGACCGTGGATCTGTCTGCTCGTTTTCTTATCCTTTTGATTTCAGCTCTTGTCTCGAACTTTGGGTCTACACCTTAGACTAACAGTATGGACCGTTTCTAATACATTAACAACAGTTAAAAACGTTGTAAATAGTTTGTTACTATTAAAGCTGTTGCAATTAGCTTATAGCAACGACCTAAACCCGTTGCAAATATAACAACTATTGCTTTTAGATTATTTTTTATAAAATAATAAAAAATCCACGACAGCAAATCCTAACTGTTGCTACAGTCTATTAACAACAAAAAGCAACCGTTACTATAAGATTGAATATTTATTTTTTTAAAATAAAATATCCACATCAGTAAAATCCTAACCATCGCTAAGGTATATTAACAACAGAAAATCTTTTGCTATAGGGTATTAAAAAGATATTTTCACCAAGATATTAATGCTTATTCTCGCATCCAACTGTAGCAATGATATTAATCTATTTCTAATCATTTATTTCAATACATGATATCATTCAAATGAAACAAATAATTATCATCATAAATAAGAAATTAACTTAATCAATTTAAAAATGATGAGTGCTCGATACATGCTTTGTCAATAAATTCAATGAAGTGATAATCAACTATAAAACTTTGAGTTTAGACAATTTACAAGATTCACAACTTCTCCACATCCTACAACTCTTAGCTGAAATGCATTCTAACAAATTAAAACTTATTCAAAGACATATGACAGTGAAGCAATAATCCATGAATAATTAGAATTTGAATGATAAAGATCATGGCGAGCCCATTAATTATCAAGACGAGTTCTTCCTTCATCGAGTCTCTCCCAATGCTTTGTCACATTCCAACTGATTCTATCCAAAATATTCCGTCCTTCACCATCCATCACCTCACAACCTTCATCCTGCCACAAACTATGGAGATTTAGAAATAGAGGATAGCTTCCAATAAATCAAGAGGATGCCACAAACTATGGAGATTTAGAAATAGAGGATAGCTTCCAATAAATCAAGAGGATAGCTTCCACTAAATGTTGCTCATGCTATAACTAGTCTTCTACTCGGAAAAAAAAGCAGAAGAGGAACCGAAAGGAACAAGAGGGTGGCTTCCAATAAATCAAGAAGACAACAAAATTATGAAAATCTATTGTAGTTTCTTCCAATGAAAAGAAGCAGTTGTTTTCATACATGACCTTAAAGTATGACAAGAAAATATATAAACACCACAAGAAATTCTTTTAGTTATTGTTTGGTGGAAATTTTGTAAAAAGACAATGAAAGAATTGAATGTTTTATTCTCTCAATCTTGATTACAATTTGAATTTCTTGATTACAAAAGAGAAGAGAATTGATCTGAATTCTCCTATTTGTTTAATTCGGGGTTCTTCACGGTGGCGATGGAGTGCCTCCCTCGAATGCTCGCGTCGAGTTTGCTCTTCGTTGACGATCCGAACGTCTTGTGTCACTGAAACGTGGTCTTCTCCTCACGATTTAATGCTATGAAGAACTTACGTGGCAAGTTTTAAAGAATTCTTGATGAGTTGATAACTCTGAACGAGTTTGAAACTCTATGAAAGAGTTGATTTAACCGAGATCGGTTTGTAAGCCAAGGGAATGCTCCAAGAACTTTGTTGTTGTGAGAAGCTTGAAGATGATCTGCTGCCGAGACGATGATCCGAAGAAGCCGATCTCTAGATCTCCAAGATACTCCAAGATCCAAAGGATCCAAACTCAGTTGAGTTTACTCCTATTTATTTCGCTCCTAAGTGGGGCTGAATGGAGTGTAACCGCCCCCTTAAACTACTCCCCAAATTGTGAGGAAAACGGTTTTAAAACCGTTCAATTCGTGCTTTGAACGAGTCAAACGCTGAAAAATAACATTCAGGGCCCGAACTCTGCGTTTTAGACTTAAAACACAGAGTTTGACCTATTTTAGTGGCTGAACGCACAGGTCGCGCTACGTTGTAAATCTAAAATGCAGAGTTAAGACATAGAGATGAACTCCGCGTTTTGGACCTGAGACGCAGAGTTGGGCTCTGCATGAACTCTGCGTTTTGGACGCAGAGTTGGGCTCTGCATGAACTTTGTGTTTTGAGTCCACGAACTCTGCGTCTGAACTTGAATGCTGGGGTGGCCTCTGCGTTTTGACTCTAGAATATGGGCATGACCTCTACGTTTTGATGTTGTAACACAGGGATGACCTCTGCGTTTTGATGTGAAGAGACCATCAATTTGTGGTCTCTTTTGCCGGAACGTTGCAAAGACCGTCATCTTGTAATCTTCATCTTGGCTCCTTTAAAATATGAGAGTCGTCAAATTGTAACTCCCGATATTGATTGTGAAGGCTATTGAACTAGAGCTTTCATCAGTTGTTGTGAAGGTCGTCAGATTGTAACCTTCATCAATCTACGTGAAAGTTTTTAAATTATAGTCTTCTGGAAGTCGTCAGATTGTAACTTCTATCGTCGGTGTTTGATGAGGGATTAGCTATCTGCAGTGATTTTTAGACAACCAACAATTATATTTTCTCGTTCACTAATGTTTGACATTCAAAAGCTATATGCGTAGTGTTGTGCACTATGATTGAGTGAATAATCATCTTCCCCAAGAATAGTATTAGTAATCCAAAAACATAAGACTAAAAACTATTAAAGATCTACACTCTTAATCAAAGACTAAAAATTATTAAAGACTAAACATAAAGCTAAAAACTATTAAAGACTAAAAACTACGCATGTTAACGAGACTTGAAGACGGTAATCAAAGATGAATCACAATCTTAAAAAAGCTTACTTGACAGAACCATACCCAACTGTCTCTACAGTTTGTTCAAGCTCTTCATCCATCCATTTTGCAAGTTTACCTATTCAACATTAAAAAAAACCTAAGTTGCATGATTTATGAAATCTTAACATCAAACAAATAAGCATCTGTATTCTGTAACCGTTATATACATGTCCAGAAACTAAAATATCAAATTAAAAAAAAGTTAAAGAACATGATGAAAAATCAAATGGGAACAGCAAAGTGAACAAGACCAACAAATTGCCATTGTCCTCAAGGCATGTCCTAGTTCATCTTTACTCTAATCCCTAGCTTCATCAAGTAATTCCGCTAATCTAACAACTTCCGAGCTGCGAGTTCTAAAACGCTTGCCATCTGATCCAAGAACGAGACCGAACCTGCCATGGCTTGCTTTTGAATATAAATTTCTGACTTCTGGAAGCCAACCAGCTAGTCTAGCAGCCTGTAACAAATGCACATACAAGGAAATAGGGAATCAATTACAAGATATTCTAAGGAATCCTGTCAGGTGCCTATACAATATGAGATATCTATTGAGCTGATGAAGCCTTAATTAAATTGACGTACATATAATGGAAACCATACTAAAATATTGTTGCTGACCAGCATCTGTGACATGTATTTTCCACTCATAAAATAGATCATAAAATAGACTTGCTACATCTGGCACAAAGGGGATCCCACCAACTTGAGCATGAAGTTACTCTGTTGGACTATAACTCTTTTGACACAAAAACTCAAAATTAAATATCTTTCTAAGTATATAGATAGAAGAGCAAACCTTCAAAAGAGCAGCAGGGCCTTCTTCTCTGACAATAGTTTGAGCACAACTAATAAGTCCCTTGTATTTCGCTCCTGAACCCTGTAAAGTTTACATCCAGATACAGGTATGCATGATGCTATAAGGATTCATGAAATAGGAGATGTATAAAGCATATATAACTTTACCTGAACCATCAGTCTTGCCTTTAATACATCAAGAGGGGTAGTTATAGCTCCAGTTATAGCACCTGCAAACAAAGAGGCAATATAACAGAATTCTATACAACCAGAGAGTGCGCTTCTGGGTTCAACTTATACAAGAATTTAATTGTGTTAAAAAAGAGATAAATAACTGTCACTGATGATGTTAGGATCAATCCTATATTATTACTGATGGAAGTCAAAGTTGACAAAGTACACCACATAGTAAAGAATGTCAAACGTTAGGCATGTAACTTTAATTTACTTTTGCAGGTAGCGAGCTAATCAGAACAATATATTTGTCTATCTTATGAAGAGAAGAATGATACATTGTTATTATGAATATTATCTCTGCGCAGATTACAAGGTCAAACAAGCAGTCCATAATTCAAGTAGAAAGTTTTCATCTTATAAATGCAAGAAATGAGACAGCCATAAAGCCAAAGAATGATAAATTCAGAACCATACATTTGGAAAACCTTCTGCAGGCATTTCACAGTAGCCATAAAGCCAAAGAATGATAAATTCAGAACCATACATTTGGAAAACCTTCTGCAGGCATTTCACAGTAGACCACATCAAAGAAGAGCATGCAACCAGAACCATACATTTGGAAAACCTTCTGCAGGCATTTCACAGTAGACCACATCAAAGAAGAGCATGCAACAAAAACATAAATTTAAATGACATTTCTAATAAAATTAGCCAAAATTACTCTAAAATCAATCAAAAACAAATACCTGAGCTCTAATGAAACTAGAGAGCGCAAAAGTGGAGAACTGGACAGTGTAAATCATGTTCTCATCTACGTGCCCAATGTTAATCTGGACCGCCGCATGATCCTTTGCAGTAATCAACTGATTCGTCGCCGAACTGATTAAAATCGCAAAAAAAAACAATCAACAAATGAAACCCTAAATTAAAAGAAATCAATCAAAGAATGTTATATTCATGCCATTTTCATGGAATGTAGAGATCAACAACGGCTCCCTCTTCGTTCTGCATCTTTACTCCAGGATTCAGAAGAAAATCGGATTGTTAGGAAAAAAGATTGAAATTTTAGGTCGAAAATAGAAGGAAAAAGGGAAATTTGGAGCCTCATGAGAGAGGGATTTGAGAGTCTGACGGCGGTTTAGAAGTCTTCGTGGGAATTAACAGAAAATTTGAATAAACACTGATTCCAATCAAACAACACCAAATTGAATAAATAAGCATATATCAGCGGAGTACATACACACTGATTCCATGAACCATCCAAGAGAAAAATTCAATCAAACACCAAATTGAATAAATAAGCATATATCAGCATAAAAATTCTGTTTATGTGAGAATCCATCACAAACGTAATCCCTCAGCCAAAACAGTAATCTAAATTTGATCAAAAAACGTTAAGAAATTCAACCCATTCCGTCCAATGTCAGTGCTTCAACAAGGAATCAATCAAAACCCTAATTCTTCAATGAAGCCCAAAACCCACAAATCAAACTCCCCCAAAAACACTAAAAACCCTAATCCCAACAGAAATTAGCAGATTTAGAGGTCAAGCTCAAAACTTTACCGAGGGATTTCGATCCTCAGTGGTTGGAACTTGAGGCATGATCAGAGATCAATTAACACTTTCAGAGAGGAGCTTTGTTGGGTCATGCGGAGGATCAGGGGTCAATCGAGTTTTTGATGAAATCTGTATTACTAATGTACGCCTTATATATAGGCCAACTTTTACCTCTTATCTCCCAAGGCTACAATTTCATAAACTTTGTATTCTTGATTCCTGCTTATTTCTCTTCTAGCTACGATAAATAAGCTTGATGAAATTATACAAGGTCACATACAGATCCATGTAGCCCTATGTACATTTCAGTGGAGATTCACAAACCCGTCAATTTCTGAAGAATGAAAACCCTAATCTTATTAAAGAGATAACATGGGCTTATATAGGCCCCCTACAAATACATCTTACAAATAACTCCCTTAACTATTCTAATATGTCAACACTCCTCAAGATGGGCGAAAGATATTCACTAAGCCTATCTTGTCACATTCTCTAATCATATCTACTGAGCTAAGTCCCTTAGTCAGACAATCTGCTGCCTGGTCTTTTGTTGAAACATGACTTAACTCCAGTAATCCACTATCCAACTTCTCTTTGATGAAGAACCTATCGATCTCGATGTGTTTGGTTCTATCATGCTGTACTGGGTTATTAGCGATACTGATGGCTGACTTGTTATCACACCACAGCTTCATCTTTGCTCCTTGATCCAGTTTCAACTCCACCAACATACTCTTCAACCACAATAATTCCGAGACTCCCAAGGCCATAGCTCTATATTCTGCTTCAGCTGTTGATCTCGCCACCACTGACTGTTTTTTGCTCTTCCACGAGACCAAGTTACCTCCTATAAAGATACAGTATCCTGAGGTGGATCTCCTGTCATCAGCACAGCTAGCCCAATCAGAGTCGCAATAACCCTCGATGCTCACATGTCCATTCTTTCTGAATATCAGCCCCTTTCCGGGGGCACTCTTCAAATATCTCAGAATCTGGTACAAAGCGTCCATATGACCCTTCCTCAGATCGTGCATGTAGCGACTCACCACGCTCACTGCAAAAGAGATATCAGGACGTGTGTGACTCAAATAGATTAACCTTCCCACCAGCCTCTGGTATCTATCACGATCAACTGGTTCTCCAGCCTCAGCACCTAGCTTGAACTTGAACTTCTGGTCGATCGGTGTAGTTGCAGGTTTGCACCCTAACATCCATGTCTCTTTGAGAAGATCCAGTGCATACTTTCTCTGGGATAGGACGATTTCCTCTGCTCCTCGAGCTATCTCTATTCCAAGAAAGTATCGAAGCAAGCCAAGATCTTTTACCTCGAATTCCTTACCCAGTCTTACTTTGAGTTGGGCAATCTCCTTCTCATCATCTTCTGTAATAATCATATCATCCATATATACCACCAGCATGGTAATGTGGCCTCCATTTCGTCGAAAGAACACAGTATGGTCGGCGTTAATCTGCTGGTACCCCATACCAATCATAGCCCTCCTGAATCTGTCAAACCAAGCACGATGAGACTGCTTCAGCCCATAAAGAGACTTCTTCAATCTGCAGACATTTCCCACTGTCTGATCTGTACCGAATCCTGGTGGTATCTCCATGTATACCTCCTCCACTAGATCTCCATGAAGAAATGCATTCTTCACATCTAGTTGGTGTAGCTTCCATCCACCATTTACTGCCAGAGAGATTAAGGTCCGAACAGTGCTCATCTTTGCCACCGGTGCAAAAGTCTCATCATAATCGATGTCATATGTCTGACTATACCCTTTTTCCACCAGACGAGCCTTGTAGCGCTCAACTTGTCCATCTGGATTCTGCTTCACAGTGAAGACCCACTTGCACCCAATTGCTCTCTTCCCTTCTGGTAATTTTACTAGCTCCCAAGTGCGGTTCTTCTCAAGAGCTCCTAGCTCCTCATGCATAGCTGTTTTTCACTTTGGGTCCTTCTTAGCAACCTGCCAATTGTTAGGTATAGTAACAGAGTCCAATGATGCAATGAATGCTCTATGTGTAGGATGGATATTAGAATATGATACAAACTGGGCAAGATCCTAACCATATCTATCGGGAGGATGTCCCACATTGCTGCGAGTAGTCCTCCGTACTGACATTGGTGTGGGAGGAGTAAGGAGAGGAATGATATCACCTTGGGAGGAATCTGATGATGGTGTAGGTGTCTCAGGAGTCGGGACAGGCGTTGATAAGGGACCTGGCACTAGTGGCACTGTAGGTACTGCTTCCGCAATTTGCTTCCCCTTCCTACTATAGGTAAGTAGCTCCCCCTGAGCCGTGGGCCTAACACCTCTTGTCTCCTTATCCTCTTCTTCTTTATTCTCCTGCTCCTCCTCAACCAATTCTCCTTCCCAAGGAATCGTTAGAGAAATCGATTTCTCCATATTATTCTCTACATTATTCATCTGCCTCTCACCATTCTCCCCTTCTCGCCTCATACTTCCAGTATTGGGTGAGTCACCAACGGATGAGGGTACCTTCTGTGTATAATATGGCTCAAATTCACGAAAGTACACATCCATGCTCACGAACAGCCTTTTCTCCACCGGGCTCCAGCAAACATATCCCTTTTGAGTAGCAGAATATCCCACAAAAATGCACTTCACTGCTCTAGGGGCAAGCTTCCCGACGGATGGTCTGTTATCCTTCACAAAGCACACACAGCCAAATACCTTCAGTGGAATAATTCCACCATTATCTCCTTTCAATGTCTCACACGGAGACTTCCAATCCAGTACTCTGGAGGGCATTCTGTTGATCAGCGCCGCTGCAGTCAACACTGCTTGCCCCCACAATGTTTTCTGGAACATTCATGGAGATCATCATACTTCTAGCAACCTCTAAAAGATGTCTGTTCTTCCTTTCCGCTACCCCATTCTGAGCTGGTGTGTATGGACATGTAGTATGGTGTTGTATTCCCTGAGATGACAAGTATTCTCCAAACATTCTGTTGGTGTACTCTATCCTATTATCAGATCTCAATACCTTCACCACTGCTCCATATTAAGTCTGAACATACCTATGAAAGTTTTGAAAGCAGCCAAACACTTCACTCTTATTCTTCATCAGGTATAACCAAGTAACGCGAGAGAAGCAATCAATGAAGGTAACAAAATACTTGTATCCATTCATAGAACTTGTAGAACAAGGCCCCCACACATCTGAATGTATCATATCGAATGCATGAGAACTCCTATGATCAGAACTAACATAAGAGCTTCTAGTAAGCTTTCCCAACTTACATGCATCACACACAAGTTTCTCTTTATTTACTTTCTCAAATAAAAATGGATACAACCTACTTAAAACACCGAAAGAAGTATGTCCCAAGCATTGGTGATGAAGCATCAACACACTCTCAGCACTCATCTCAGATCCTACTCATGCTCTCTCTACCATTGACACCAAAGCTGAATCTAGCCCTTCACGATCCAGATACCACAGTCCATTACGCCATGTGACAGTCTCAAGTCTCCGTCCTGTCCCCTTCTCCTGAAAAATCACCTTGCGAATATCAAAAGAAACAATACATTTTAGTTGGAGGATGATAGAACTAATGGACAAAAGATTGACTGGAAAGGAAGGAGCATGCAAAACATTGGACAAAGTTACAGAACCAGTACAATCGACTGTACCCTTACCAACCACCGGCTGAAATGTACCATCAGCTGTTTGAATACTATCAGGCGATGCTAAGTGAGTATATGATGAGAACTCACTAGCATTACCTGTTACATGGCGAGATGCACCGGAGTCGACTATCCACTCTGATGTTCTGTCGGGAGACATAGAAGCAAGAGCATGTATGTCATCAGTACCTTTGGTCGGATGAGCATAGGTAGCAATGTTGCCTCTGGCGAAAAACAAAGTGGATGCCTCCTCAGTTCCACTCCTCATGTCTCCATCCCCTGCTACTTGTTGTTTTCTCCTGAGTATCGTCAGGAGAGCACGATCCTCCTCAGTAAAGACCACCTCAGCTTTTTCTTCCTCTGCTACCGTCAGATTCGCCCGATTCCCTGCTCCTCTTCCACCCTGTCGACCCCCATGGCCACGACCACGACCTCCGAACTGTCTACGTCCACACGAATCTCCTTCCTTGGGTGGCTTGGTGCAAGCATACCTTAGATGACCCACCGCACCGCAGTTGTAGCACTGTCGAGTCTCTCCCCTAGATCCAGTGTTGCTAGAGGCTGCCAGTGCTGACTTCACCACAGGAAGTCCACATGTCCCCACCTGCAGCCTAATACGAGTCTCCTCTTGGATCATAGCAGAGACAGCCTCCTCAAGCGTGGGAATCTTCGGCTGAGCTAGCAGCAATGCGATTCGCTGAGCGAACTCTGATGTCAATCCTTTGAGAAATATCATAGTCCTCTCCTGTAGAAAGGCCTCCCGTTCTTTACATCCCGGGTCCTTGCAACTTGCCCGAGGTGAGAAGTGATCATAATCTAGCCACAGCCGTTCCAGCTCTATGGCATACTCCTGTACAGTCCTATCTCCCTGGACTGTGGCGTCGATCTCACCCTTAATCTGGAACACCCTCAGGTTATTCCCCACTCCATCATAGGTCCTCCTCAACTTTTCCCAGACGTCCTTCACCTTCTCAATGCCATCCACTGTGGCAGCGATCGACTGGACCAACGAGTTGAGGAGCCAGATGTATACCAGCATATGAGTGGCCTTCCACTCATCTCTTCCCTCCGAGTCCTCCTCCGGCTCTGTCACCTCTCCTGTCAGATAACCCTCCAGATTCCTCCCTGCAAGGGGGTATCTCACCCGTCGTGACCAGCTCAGGTACGTACTAGGTCCATCCAGCTTCAGATCGATGGTCGGAAGCTCCAACTTCTTCGATGGTTTTGTCGCGCTCTCACCAGCCGACAACTTCATTAACTTCATCAAAGTTGATACCTCCGCAGGGTTCAACTTCTTGATGATCTCCTCCATCGAACAAGCTTCAGACCCACCACCTGTTCACCTTCTCTTCCGACCCTTGTTGTGTGCAGTGAAAATTTCGGCAGCACCTCTGCTGCACAACAAGAGTAGGATCTCAAACAAATTCTCGTTTCTCAGAGGAAACAAGAACCAAAAACAGTTATATATCTCATCGCTGTGAGATATATACTCTTCCTGTCATCAGTTCGGGGACTGAGTCGAGGGAATCCATGCTCAACTCTAGTGTTCGCACACCCGGTTGGCCACAAAAGGGGGGGTTCGGAAAACAGAGAGGGGGGGTGCTTCGCCGAAGGATGCGAAAAAAAGGGGATGGGGTTGATCGGTGTCGTTGTTCCTTTCTTTGTTTTTTCATGT